ATGATAGTTATAAATCGTATGTTGTATCGTTTATACTGTCTTAAACAAAGAATTTAGACAGTACCGTGTATTTGTTGTTTTAGCTACCAATCTGGAATGTCCTGTCAGATTCCGCCCATGATTCTTTGATTGCAATTATTTTATTTAATTATCCGTAAACTGATAATTACATGGATAATGTTTTCTTAAGCCTAGAAATTAACCAATTAATTAGTTAATTACGCGCCTGACTAGTTTTGGGCGTGACCGGGTGTGGCTGTCACGGTAGATCGGAACCCTCAGGCAGAACTTACTGCATTGCTTTCCTGACTTAAATTTTTGTTAAGAAAACAACTATCTTCGAAGAGACAATAACAAACGTCGTTCTCGTGACATCCTTGTTAAGGATCGAGCACGTGACGTGGTGACCTTGTTGGGGTGGTGACTGACAGGTGACCCGTGCCATACCTGGCAGGGTGGGGCGGACGTTACCCTCGGGTCCTGTCACCTAACTGTGTGAAGAGATTAGGTCAGGCATACTTTTTAGTTGAACAACAGTAGGAAAATATGTTTGGTATTTGTAGAACAGTTTTATTGTAGGAAAAGTGTAATTCTTAAACGTGTACCCAGACTGACTGTACACCGTTCTTAAGATTTTTACAAAAAATGAAAGTCTCTTTTCTTAAACCAATATAATCTTAAGTTGCTTTAATTTGTCCACTAATGACTAAGTATTCCACTTCCTATAGTCGATATGATGATGAGGGAATATTTGTCTTAGACAACTATGTTATTATAGTGAAATAAAAATTAGATAGAAATGTGAATAAATAAATAAATAAATAAATAAATAAATAAATAAATAAATAAATAAATAAATAAATAAATAAATAAATAAATAAATAAATAAATAAAAAAGTAAATAAATAACAATGACTTATTCTTTATGATTTATTTTCTTTGGTCGATGTAATAACATCAGCAGGAATTATTGATATAAACTGTTGAACAATTAACACCGGTGTGCAAAAATATTTAAAAATTATCGCGTATTATACAAACAGATAAGAATTCTACCAAGCAGTTTAACTTCAATATTTTTGAGAATACAGTCGTATCATGTGAGATTTAGGGAAATATTGTTCGAAATATGGTGAAATATTGATGTTCTAAGTGAAACTGGAGCGGAGATTTGTAGACATTATGTATTCTTTGACTAGAAGAATATTTACAGTTGAGCGATCCTTGTTGTCAGACAAGCTTAGGCGCTATGACTTTCCATTACCGGCCTCTGGCATAGTGGGCCGACTTTTTGTAGGCTGGATTAGGAAATGTTTTATGGAAGAATGGCGATTTAAAACAGCCAAAGTCTGCCTGATTAAACAAATGTTACTCAAGTAAATCTTACCATCAATATTGATAAAATTTATTACATATTTTCAGTGTTGTTTTGCGCACAACACAAACAAGCCATTACTGCATCTACCGGCTCTTGGGGGTCGTCCGGAATTCTCGTCCGATCATGTCCCTTTTTCTCCTACTTCAGCATTAGTTTTGACCTGTTGCTATTATGTAAAGAAAGCGGTCCCTTTTGACACATAAATAAGTCATTTATGTAATACTCAAAAAGCGAAATGACATGACAAGGTTTTTAAAGTAAAAAGAAAATCCATGCATTCTGATACCTTTCTACATTCAGAAGAAAATGGATGTCGGTAAATAATTCTGAAAACAACATTTTAAGTGTGTATTTATATAGTCTGTGATGGTAACACTTTAATAATTATAAATGTGTATCTTTAGGCCGTATATATACTCGATACCTATCTCCGTCAGTATTATACTACATGTTTATACTGTTAAAACATATACTGATTAGTAAAACAACCCTACTAGTATATGTATACTTAACTTCTGACGCATCATAGTCATACTCAATGTATACCTGTAAAATCACAAAATGGACTTATCTAGCCCAGTGGTTTAGGCCTCTTTCTATTTTAAGTAAAAACACTAATGAGCATGTATAGATCACATATAATTATGATCTCCTAAAACCCGATCTAAAGAAATTAACTCATAAAAATCCTCACCATTTCACGATGTAAAAACATAATTCATGTCATCACCTTCCTGATCTGTAATATCTCAGTGATTTCCTTGGTACATTTATCTCCAAAAAGTTGGGACAGGGGAGGGAATGGGGATTAAAGAAAAAATTACCGAAGCCTCATTAAAAAGAATGTTTTTAAACTTTACAATTAGTATCTGTGGAAAATGAAATTTTGTGTCTATATCTAACCCCCTAGGTGGAAAAACAAGCATTATATTTTTTTATTTAAAGCAAGAGAATTTCGGCCCAGTTTTATAATTTACAGCAAAATATGCTTAATTTGATTTATATGGGCAAAACATCGCTATAAATGTAATTTGAAGTGAACACAAAATCAGGAAGATATTATTATTTAAATATTGAAATATAACTCAAAAACATGTGACAGGCAATATTTATTTATTTATTTATTTATTTATTTATTTATTTATTTATTTATTTATTTATTTATTTATTTGTTTATTTATTTGTTTGTTTGTTTATTTGTTTATTTATTTTTATTCATTTATTTATTTATTTATTTATTCATTTATTTTTATTTATTTATTTATTTTCATTTATGATGAAGTTAAATACAATGTAGGTGTTGGTACTTTCTGTATCATATTACTGTGTCTGGAAATTAGTTCTTAGTATAGAATAGATTTGTTTTGTCAAAATATGCACGTTTCTTATGATTCAGACATGGTTCTTATCTTCAAAAACTGATAACTTAAAATTTTGTCGACTAACTTCGGTACAGTGACGGCCATAAATATATATAAACTTGCCATTTCAGAAAGTGTAAATATTAAGATCATTATAAATCCATTGGTCACTTATACATTAAATTGATCAATTATGAGCTGAGAATTTAAATGTATCATTTAACGATTCTTACATAACAATAATTATTATTTGTGCTGAACACTTAAACTACGTCTTGATTTTGTCACATTTTGATAAGAAATAAATTCCTTTATAGAGAAAACAAATGTGATAGAAACATTCTTTGTAACGATAGCTTTTAATTTTTAAAAAGCGTTACGCGTAGATTTTTTTTCTCGATATATGTAGGTTAGTAAATAAACAGACTTATCGTAAACTGCCAAACATGTTTATGTGTCCAGATATATTGTGTAACACTAACGGTGCCGGTTATTTATATACATCAGTTTTATAAGGTAGTTATATCAATACTTGTACTGTTATGAAAACTTATGATTGTCCCTTACTGTAACTATTCTTCCTTTTATCTCAGAATAACACGTGACAGAAATCACGTCTTGTTAATCGAGTTTTGATAATAATCATTCTAAAAAAACCCGAACACATGTTTCCTATCTTTATTTAGTCTCCAGTCATGGATAAGTCGATATATATTATAAAAAGTCATACATCAGTCCATTACTTATACAATCATTACATACTTGTCTCTAACATAAAAATAATGATATTCAATCATTTAGAGGATATCGAATAATTCTTCCACATTATAATTTCATTATCAGTGTTGTAATATATCTCACATTAAGATTTTATAATCAGTGTTGTATTAAATCTCACATTGTAATTTCATTATCAGTGTTGTATTAAATCTCATATTATCATTTCATTGTCAGTGTTGTATTAAATCTCACATTGTAATTTCATTGTCAGTGGTGTATTAAATCTCACATTATCATTTCATTATCAGTGTTGTAATAAGTCTACATTTTAATCAGTGTTGTAATAAGTCTACATTTTAACACTAAGACTGTACAGTTAACAGATTCGTTAATTATCAACCAATAATTAATCATCTATATGTAGATATTTTTACTAACATGTACATATGAAAGGTTTCCGATGACTGTCTGCTTCTCTCTAGTGATAATCTATTGCCAATCCGGACAAGGTTCCATCCTTCTAACCTTAAGTCGACATTTTGGCAATGTATTTCCTCAGCAAAATTTATCGGCATGTGGTTTGTCTTTCAGTCTATTTCTCTGGATTCCGGAATTCTCCTATTTCTGTTATTTTATCAAAATCTGCCAGGTTTTATAAGGACACAATCTGTACCAATATCTGATAATTCAAATCATTCTCTTTCACTTTTTTATATAAATAGTATATCATATTTCAACATTACATGTTTCATTAAAGGCAATAAGTAAACCAAACTAGTATTGACATGACAATCAAATATATTTGAAGTATGAGATATTCTCAGCTTGTGCCCATTTCACGTTTCATTAAAGGCAATTCAACCAAATATATTTGAAGTATGAGATATTCTCAGCTTGTGCCCATTTCACGTTTCTATTTAAAAACAACCATAAGAGGGAAATTAGTTCTCAATTCATTTATTGCACTATCACAGTTGAGATTCAAACATTTGTACATGAAATAAAATCAAACACGCTTTTACATCAAAATCAAATCATACACATCTTCAAAATTATTCATAAAAACTAGCAACTAGTCACTTTCACCGCATATTTCTCATAACCATACAACAACACTCATTCATGAACATTTGTCCATCTATATATACAGTTTAGAAGGAGAGGAATGATAAGTTAATTACAAATAATAATAATTGATATCACGTGACATGAATTAATTGCGTAGACACGTGCACAGCATCACGTGGGCAACACCATCGCGACTGTTTCCTGATATTTTAGCACTAGAATTCACCGACATACATACACAAACATCACACAATAAAACTATTATACAATACACACAACTCAGCGCTTCCAATCATTTTTAACGAAAAGTTTTTAAACATTCAATAACTGGATGTTACTAATTTGGACATGTGAATTAATTAACGAGTTTTTGTCGTCTTACCTTATCATCGCTATATACACACAAAAGTCTCACAGTATAATACGCCATACAGTAACACAATATCACCACAGATTTGCTATAGTCTATGTCCTTACTGCGACGCCTGGAGTCGGATTTGACTGTTATACTGAGGACCACATCCGTAGGACTGCTGCAGGGATGGATAATTCGTCAGCGAGCTGTTCATGCTTGGCACGGGAGGGACCTGGTTCCCAGATAAGTAGGATCCTCCAAGAGACCCTCCGAGAGAACTGCCGAGAGAAGGTCCTATAGAATTGTTCATGTTCATGTTCATGTTCATGCTGTTGCTGCTGTAGTACGGATTATAGCTAGACGATCCGGGAGGATTCCATGCTTCAGGTTTGGAAACCAAGCTGCCATATTGTTGAGACTGAGGGAGACCCTGGGGAAATGATCCGAGAGTGAGCGAGTTGAGTGATGGGTAAGGTTTGTATCCAGATGGCGGAGGGTACAGACTGAAATGTCCAAATGAATTCACGTGCTGCACTTGTGCCTGTTCAGCTTCCCTCATTTTCTGGCGCTGGAGCTTGAAGCGTTTGGCGCGGCGCAAGAAGCTTCCGTTACCAAACATATCACCGCATGCTGGATGAAGCGCCCAGTAGTTTCCTTTTCCGGGTCTCCCAGGAGCACGTGGGATTTTAACAAAACAGTCATTAAGGGAAAGATTGTGACGGATAGAGTTCTGCCATCTCTGTTGGTTCTCTTTGAAGTAAGGAAATCTGTTCATGATGAAGGCATAGATTTCATTAAGGGTCATCATACCGGAGTTTGAACTTTCAATTGCCATGGTGATGAGAGCTATGTAGGAATACGGTGGCTTCACATCCGCAAATCGTCGATTCTGTTGTGACAGCGTGGAAGTTCCGGAAAACTTTCTTTCCTCCTCAGAGTCGCTGTCCAAGTCGAGTTCATCTTTGACGTCATCGTTTTCGTCCTGGAGATGATCATGATGGTCCACCGCGTGATCTGGATGGATCTCGGGGTTCATGCCATGAATGGACGACTGAAGTAGATGTGAGGTAGCCATCATACAAGAGGTTGTGTCTGCCATGCTGTCCCGTCCTGCCAGGTTTTGGTTGTTATCCATTATCATAATGAACTATCTTAATTCAAAGTGTCACGGAAAATATTTTCCGAAGGTTGAGTCCGTGGCTGATTAGAATGATTGTGTATAAACACCGTTGATGAACACTGTTATTGTTTATGAAAACAACCAGAACGTTGTTTTTGCAGGCTGTTCACTGTTTGTATATCCTGATATAGTCTGCTTGCAAAATATTGCTTCTCTTCTCCAAAAAGTTAATTAATGTTTTGAAACTCAGAAACGCCAGAGTTTTATCCTGTAACTGGGCTCAAAAGACGTAATCTGATTGGTCGATCAGAACATGCCGTCACCAATGGTCAAACTTCAAACCTATCAATAGATAAAGAGACGTTTTCCGCTATGACCGTGCTTGATTGAAGTGGTCAGTGATCATTGTTACCCAATAATCACGCCCACTATTGACCCACGCTATTGTCCCTCGTGACAGTTACGGGTACGGTCACGCCCCCTTTACCTACGTTTTACCTGGAGCATGAGCGTTCACCCGTGACCAATGTCCAGTAGTCTAGGATTTTAGCAAATATTGGTCCAAGCGTTTGAAATTGATCTGCAAATATGTACAGATTGGGCTAAATTACAAGAAATATTTGATACAATATTTGAAGAAGTGACTTGACCCTCTCATAAGTCACAACAAGAACACGTGCGTAATATTACTCTAAAAAGACAAGTTACGTGCGCTATGTTGTTGAAAATCATATAAAACGGCAGAAAAGTTTAATAAATTAACACAAGGGAAAAAACAACACACAAATACCTTTTCTGAACGTTTGGTGACATTAGAGAGCTCGGTATTGTCAGTTTTTGTGCTCTTGAATTACATGAACACTTTATCATGAATCTGGACATTGACATAAAAATCTGAAGCACGAGACGGTGAGAACATATCTATTCCGGGCGAAAATACCCACACAACGCGTATAAACAATAGCGAAAGGAAACAATGCAATGAAATATTCAATAGTTATATCTAAAGTGTTAATCAATATCTAAATTCTAACGCTTCAGTAAAACGTTTGATATAGAATACATCCAGGTATTATTCAAATACTTACCTCCATCTATCGGCGCTGTTACTTTCACGACAAATATTCTAAACAAGTTAGAATCGAGGTTTTCTATGCTCCTAACGACTCTCTTTATTTCGGAATAGGATAGAAGAGAAAAAGAAGGAAACATTAATTACTTTATAAAATGTAAAACAGTCTTACTCCAGATGTTCTAATGGACTTTTTCCTAACACTATTACCAAAGATGTTAGATATACAGTATGAAATGCTACCTATTTTATCTTGCCATATCTAAGAGTTTCCTCTAATAATTCACCCTTTCCTTCTTAACCTCTTTGTTCTTGGAATAGTCTCGATGTTGTTGTGTATCTGCAATTCTCCTTGTGAAAATGTCTGTCATTTCTTCTTCGAATGTCGTCCTTATCGGTACCAGAGGTTAGAGTTATTTTAAGGTTTGATTATAGACCATCAAATCATGCTAGATCGGCTATTGTCAGGAATTCCTGAATTGACAAAACGAAGCAATCTCGATGTTTTTCGAAGTGTTCAAAGTGTTCATAAAAAACGATGAAAATCACATTTCTTTTACATTCCCCCGTCTCTCTCTCTCTCCTTTGTCTTCTTGTTTTTAGTTGTAATAAGTTCACTATACATACTACCCAGTAAGGTTAATGTTTATGTATAGTTGTAATATGCATCATATGAGAGGGCGTTAATAATGTTACTTACTAAAATGGGTTTAAACTAAACTAAACGATTTTTTGTTTGAGTAAACATCTTTGAAACAATATATTCTTTTATATCAGACAAAAATATTGACGTATTTTAACGCTTATCAGAGCAAAACGAGAGCTTTAAACAATAGGACTAAAATGTGTAAAACGAAATAAAATATTGACGATGTTGCTGTATGACTTCCAGCATCAGTTACGCTTAAGAGACGACTAATATTTTATAGATCGTAAAACAACCAAAACAAAGACACAAAAATAAAACAAAATTTACCACAAAATCTGTACGATTTTTATTTGATATCACAAGACCATGATGTCTTCAATCCAAATGTTGATATTGTTTGTTTGTTTGTTTCCATGAGTTCAATTTGTTTATGTTATTTAAGAAGACTTTTTCTTTAAGCTTCTTCATGTCTTTGATGTTTTCTGGAATTCACACCACTGTGATACTTTGTTTCTGGTAAAGAATGCTTCTATCACAGCTTTTGTAACTTAATAAAAAAGAAAACGCGACATTCTAACGTTTAACCTTTTCAATTGAATGTCTGTTTTTCTAGGAAGGTGTAGAGATCAATTTAAAATTCTCAGCCAAAATTCCGTCAAAGGGGCCGTCGGATTTTAGGGGGGGATAACTCCGTCTCAATACTGATCTGGTACTTTGGACTTAATTCACTTACAATGCATTGTTGGGTTAATTAAGTTCAATAATGAGAGGTAAGTATAATCTATGTAAAGGTGTAAGGAAGGAGAGTAGGGCGGTCGACATCAAAGGGACGAAGTGCTAGTTGTAATGGGATTAGGTTAATCCCACTCTCGCGGTAACAGAGAAGATTTTCTAGAAAACATACCATGCTGTAATGGTATTGTGTTTAGAAGAATACACCTTTCTATAACTGGTACTCAAGACAGATCTACTTAACCGTTGACTTATTCCATGCGCAAACAAACGACAGTCCATGATGTACTGATGTTTTACATACACTGAACAGAAAAAATAAAAAGTTTTCAGCACATCAGGATTCATTGATAAAATAAAAACATTTCTGAGTTTAATGCATTTTTTATGATATTTGGTATTTTTCATTGCGCTCAAATAATATTATATAGAATAGACTGTTTCCCCATAAAGACATATTTCAGTTTAAAATATCAATATTTGTTGTTTAGATAGAACTGTCAACTGTTTTTTTAGTATGACGTCTTTGTCCTGTTGCCGGATGCCTGTCTCCCTTATCTCGGACAAAGGAAATATTCTATCAACGATACTGATCAGCAGATTATTGACTTTATAGATGTAAGGGCAGATAGTGTACTTAGCTAATCCTGACAATATGCCATAGTTAGTCCCGGGCGTGGGGATGGCCCGGGGGTCGGGCTAAGTGACAGGTGACAGTGTCCGGCAGCCGTGGAATGAAACATTCATGTAGTGTATTGATAATTCACTAAAAATGACTTCTACAATCTCCATTTTGTAACATAACATTAACAATTAAGATGTTATTAATGGCATAATCTTAACTTTGCTGTGCGACACCTACAATTGTTCACAATGTTGGCCCAGGTTACGTGAACGCTTTTCATTTCGTCCCTGATAATGCCGTACATAACACGTATGCTAGGTATGCATTAAACGTTTAGATGATTCTGGTAGTCAGGAAGCACATCAAGTAAATTAACATGTCCCCTATAATACAATACACACCTTTTACATCTCTGAAATATAGATAAAGGCTTGACTAAAAACGATTGACCAGAGATCTAGATAAATAATTTAATTTGACATTTTACATATTGTATATTTTTTCTATGTTATTTAGTAAACAGATAAATGATCATGGCGTCCTATCGAGACGTTCTATTTCCATTTATTTTTCATCTTTATTGAATCCAGAATGGCGGTTACTGCATTATGACGTATATACATGTACGCTTGAACATTTCTAGGCCATAGATGATTAACGATACTCTCTTTAAGAGTTAAACTATACCAGAACGTATACATGTAGTTTACAAATGAATTAACGAGGTCGCGTTTATCCGGAATTTGTTTCCGGATGCCCGGCTTCTTATCTCCAAGAGAGGAAACGTTCTATGGTCAATATAAAGATCTTAATCAAAACATAATTGACTTCACAGATGTAAAGACTGATAGTGTGTTTTGCTGATCCTGACAATATGCTATAGTTAGTCCCGGGCGTGGGGATGGCCCGCGGGGTCGGGCTAAGTGACAGGTGACATGGTCTCCGGACCCGGGGTTAGAGACTAATATACCTAAATATTATTGTGTATTGGAGTGCTTTCTTGGAAAAAAATGATAACGCTTTGCAAGTCTTATCAAATTATCTTATAAACCTGGTTTTGATTTTATTAGAAACTCGATATCAATGTTTGAAATATATGATAAATACCAAGAATCAACGTTATGAAAACTTACATAAAATCTTCCATACGAGGAGAGTTGATCAAGGGTTTTTTCAGAATTTAAAAAGAGTTAGACGAATCTCTCTATACATTTAAAACTGATCAAAAGCAACTTTCCTCACATTTCACTAGTCAAATGCATTAAAGAATGACAAGATTTCTGTAACAAAGACTCGTGAAAGGAGTATTTATGTTTCTGAACCACGCTAAGTGTTCTGCTGAGTACACCTACGTATATACTTTATAGAGAGAATCTCCGTTTTAAGTTTGAATAAAAAGTCCCCGAAAAAATAGCAATATCCATTTGTAATGTGATTCGAATACTGTGCTGTAGTTACTCTCCTGTGGATTTTACGTGTAATTGTCACTATGACGAGGCTCATTATACCAGTATCTCATTTTCTACAAAAAAAAAATGATGTTTAGAGAATTTTTTTGTCTACGTCTTGAAAAATATATCTAAATTTGTGGTTATCATTTTTATTGTTAATCGATTTCGCTTTAGAACGATAGAGAGTTGACACTATTGTCTTTTACCCGAGCTAGTCACCATTATTAGCGATGGACAATGATGATGTCACGATTACCAGGCATTTCTGAAGTGGTCAAGCGTGTAAGTGATCTGACACGGTGCCCGCCCCTCGGATAGTGGTCAAAACGGTCAGTGCTTGTGGCGTTAATCGAATCTACAGACAGAAAAGAACTCATTACTTGGTAATCTGAAACGTTGATTCAATAAATGCTACCAACTGCGTGTAACTTTTCTGACCACAACAATTACACAAATATCGTACACTCTCTTTGGAAATGGATAAGAAAAGGC